TCAAGTATGTGTGGAATCTAAGTATGTTAAACATCCTTATAAGTCGGTTGAAAGGAATTCAAATCCTTTAGACTTAATTCACACAGATATTTGTGACATGAAGTCAATACCATCTCGCGGTGGAAAAAAGTATTTCATAACTTTTATTGACGATAGTACTCGATATTGCTATATTTACTTACTCAATAGTAAAGATGAAGCAATAGACGCATTCAAGCAATACAAAAATAAAGTTGAAATGCAACTTAATAAGAAAATCAAAATGATAAGAAGTGATAGGGGTGGTGAATATGAATCTCCTTTTGAACAAATATGTTTAGAATATGGAATTATTCATCAAACAACGGCCCCTTACACGCCCCAGTCCAATGGGATTGCAGAAAGAAAGAATCGTTCATTAAAGGAGATGATGAACGCATTATTGATAAGTTCTGGTTTGCCACAGAACTTGTGGGGGGAAGCCGTTCTTACGGCTAGCCGAATACTAAATCGAGTACCCCATAGCAAAACACAATCCATTCCATATGAAAAATGGAAAGGAAGGAAGCCCAACTTGAATTATTTTAAAGTGTGGGGGTGTTTGGCAAAAGTGCAAGTTCCTAAACCCAAAAGGGTAAAAATAGGACCGAAAACCGTTGATTGTGTTTTCATAGGATATGCGACTAATAGTAAAGCATATCGATTTCTGGTTCATAAATCAGAAAATCCCGACATTCATAATAATACGGTTATAGAATCAGATAATGCTGAGTTCTTTGAAAATATATATCCGTATAAAAAGGAATGTGAGTCGATTGGTGAAGGATCTAAACGACCCCGGGAAGAAACAAAAGAAAGTACACTTAACCAAGAGGATCCAAGACGTAGTAAACGTCAAAGAACGTCTACTTCATTTGGACCAGATTTTGTGACTTTCTTATTGGAAAATGAGCCTCAAACATTTAAAGAAGCTATGTCTTCTTCGGAATCATTGTTATGGAAAGAGGCGGTCAATAGTGAAATAGAATCCATACTGAACAACCATACATGGGAATTGGTTGATCTTCCTCCTGGAAATAAACCGTTGGGTTCTAAATGGATCTTTAAGAGGAAAATGAAAGATGATGGCACTATTGACAAGTATAAGGCAAGACTTGTGGTCAAAGGGTATAGACAACGAGAAGGTCTTGACTATTTTGATACATACTCTCCAGTTACAAGAATTACATCCATACGAACGTTAGTAGCGTTAGCTGCAGTTTATGGTCTTGAAATTCATCAAATAGATGTTAAGACGGCCTTCTTAAATGGAGAGTTGGAGGAAGAAATTTACATGGAACAACCTGAAGGGTTTGTGGTTCCAGGTAAAGAAAAGAAGGTCTGTAGACTTGTTAAGTCCCTTTACGGATTAAAACAAGCACCCGAACAATGGCATGCTAAATTTGACCAAACAATGTTGTCAAATGGATTTAAGATAAATGAATGTGATAAATGTGTGTACATTAAAAATGTTCCAAATCACATAGTCATTGTTTGCTTACATGTGGATGATATGCTCATAATGAGTAATGATATTGCCAATATAAATGCTACTAAGCGTATGCTAACTAGCAAGTTTGATATGAAAGACTTGGGAGTTGCTGATTTAATTCTGGGAATTAAGATCCATAAGACTTCTCAAGGTCTAGCATTGTCACAATCTCATTATATTAAGACAGTACTTGAAAAATTCAAGCACTTGGGCTTTAAAGTTGCAAAGACTCCAATTGATGTGAATCTTGCATTAGCAAAGAACAAAGGCCAGAGCATAGCACAATTGGATTATACTCGTGTGTTGGGTTGCTTAATGTACATCATGAATTGTACACGACCAGATATAGCTTGTGCTATAAGTAAATTGAGTCGATATACGAGCAATCCAAGCCAATCTCATTGGATGGCCATGAAACGAGTTTTGGGGTATTTAGTACATACCCAGGACTTTGCTTTGCACTACAATAAATATCCTGCGGTCATTGAGGGATACTGTGATGCAAATTGGATCACCGGATCAACTGATTCCAAGTCCACAAGTGGATATGTATTCACTATTAGGGGAGGAGCAGTATCTTGGAAGTCATCCAAACAAACTTGTATTGCCCGCTCTATAATGGAGGCTGAGTTCATAGCCTTGGATAAAGCTGGTGAAGAAGCTGAATGGCTCCGGAATTGCTTGGAAGATATTCCATTTTGGCCCAAACCGTTGGCACCAATATGCATATATTGTGATAGTCAAGCGGCAATTGGAAGGGCTGGAAGCGTTATGTATAACGGTAAATCTCGCCATATACGACGAAGACATAAAACTGTTAGACAATTACTCTCTAGAGGAATTATCACGATTGACTATGTAAAGTCAAGTGATAATATGTCGGATCCACTTACAAAAGGCCTAACTAGAGAGGTAGTTGAGAAGTCATCAAGGGGAATGGGACTGTGGCCAAGAACAAGTCATAGTGGCGGTAACTCTACCTAGAAGACTGGAGATCCCAAGATCTAGGTTCAAGGAGATCAAACAAAGTCATTTATGACGGTTCAACATTGTCAACTAAACTTTTTTGGTCCATTCTCGTGATGAGACAATGTTCAGAACCAAGGATAAAGCATTAAGGCTTTTTAATGATTTCTAAATTTGATACGAGGTATAACAAATAGTGTATCTACGGGATGACATGTTTAGGAATCACCTATGTAAGTGTGAAGTGTTAGCCGCTTCAAAGAGAACATTGTAAGGCCAATTCTCTACGCACTTATGAAACCAGGCGGTGTTCATGGCTGAAACGAACATAACAATAAGAACCAAAGACGGTTAAGGGTTGGTAGTGTGACTTGTGGTTGTCTAGGTATACACTAAAGTTCGACGGTTCAAAGATATCAAATCTACCAATTGATCGAGTATATCCGACATAAGTTCACTACGGAAAGTTCAAAGGGAAACCTACTTATCCAGATGCAATTAATCCTTACTTGCGAATCACACAGTTTTTCAAGCATACTTCCGTGATATAGCCATTCCCCATTCATGTGGGGGATTGTTGGGTTTTGGATGTGTTTAATTAATATATAAATACTTAAAAGAGGGTAAATGGGAAATGGAGGGAAATAAATTTTTGAGTGAAATTTTAAGTTCCCCCCTTGGCAAATGGCCATTGTCCCATATTGGAAAAGGAAGAGGTTTTTTATGGGTATATAAGCAATTGCTCTTCTTCTAGCTCTTAAAGAGTTGAGAAGAAGGCAAGCCTTGCGCCGTCGTCATCGTCGCTCGCTCGGCTCGGCTTCGGCTTCGGCTTCGGCTACGGCTACGGCTTCGGCTTCGGCTTCGGATTCGGATTTGGTCAAATGATCGATTAATTGATTGGCCAAATTTATTTGTTAATAGTAAAATATTAACAGAAATGTTATTAAATATTTGTTTTAATAACAGAGTATTAATATTAAATATTAATATTAAATCCAATCCGTTTTTCTGTTTTGGTAACAGAAAAGTAACTACCCTCTTCAATTTTTCCTCTTTATTTTTCCTCTTTATTTTTCCTCTTTATTGTTGAGTAAATGGCCATTTATGTAATGGCATTTATGCTGTGGGCGTATTGCATAAACAGCCATTCTGAAGAGTTGCACCTCTTCAGATTTCAGCCCAACTTTGGCTATAAATACAACACTTTTCTGCTCAGAATTTCACTACGATTTCTGAGTTTTCTCTCCTTCTTCTGCATACTTTTAGCATCAAACAAAGTAAAAAGTAAGTGTGATTTGCTACCGAACTTTGTGTTCGCTGAAACACTGGGGTTTGAAGTACCACTACACCAGTGTGTAATTCGTTCTATCCTGTGAGGAAATAATCCATAACCTTGGGTACTAGGAGGGGATTAAATTCCTTAAGGAAACACTGTGAATTCAGTGGGCTCGAATTGGTTTTCTATTATTTCGTTGCTCATTTCTGTTTATGTTCATTTCTGTTTATGTTCATTTATATTTCCAGAATTATTTTACAAATACAGTATACTAACAAAACTTCCCGTACGTGGAAATATTCACAAATTGTTGTCTACTAACTTACGTAATTATTTATAATTTATTTTTAAATAATCTGATAAACATACAACAACACCAACAACAGCAGAAGAAAGAATAAGAAGAAGAAAACGAAGGAGGAGAAGGAGGAGGAGAAAGGGGCCTGAAGTTGTTTAAGAAGTGGGTACAAGTTAAAACTTTTTTAAAAAATGGGTATATGTTAAAAGGGGGCAACCAAATAGGGCGCCCCGTGCAAGTTTTACAGTCTCTTGATGTTAATTAACTCTTTGAAGAAGTAATCGCTTGAACTAAAATTAGGCGACGGAAATATAATATAAATATAATTTTATGTACAATATTTGTATAATTATATATAATCAACACATATTTTATACATACCAGTTAGAAAAAGTAAATAATAAATTTGTTCGGTTATTTATGTAAAGATCCCTAACTCTTTACAAGTTTGAGCAGAATTTAGTAATTTTGGCTTCAACTTGGTATTTATATTAAAAAATTTACTGAATAATATAAATATTTTATTCAAAACAAAGTAAGCTGACTTCTCTAAAATCTAGAACTCATAAACTCAAAATTCTACCGCAGAAAATGTGTGTTATTATGTGCGGATCGACCATAAGTACACATGATATGTGTTTTGTTTGCACCTATTCAGACGAAAAACGAAAAAGGGGCCAAATACTTACTATTCCTTCTGAAATTGTCACGATTGTTTTCTTTGCATACCTTAAATTTTCAGGTGTTCATTATCTAATTCTTTCAGATCTAATACTCTATCTAAGAGTTAGTAGTCGTATTTATTAATTTGTTCCTATCTAACAAAACGTTATTGGATTAAATGACAAACACATTATTGAGGAAAAGATAGTTATTTTAGACAAAAAAATAAATAAAATGAATTGATGTAACAGAAAAAAGATTTCTCATTCATGCTAGCATGAAAGACATTACACATCGCAAAATGTAAAAAGGAAGAAAATTATATATTTACACGAGTACTAATTAGACAAGAGACAACTAACCGAACCGGTCTGCCCGTTTTTCACTCCTCTCTCCAATTAGTGGCTAACTCTCCAGATTTTCGATTTTTCATCTAATCAGGTAAATTTCTCCCAATTGTTTATGTAGTTGAGTGCTAAATTTCGAATGACTAGTTTCTACTCTACTTTTTGGTGCTTTATCTATTATGATGTGTTAAACTGTTTCGAGAAAGAAAAATAAAACCTAGATTCGTTTTGTAATTGCGGTTCGAATGTTTTTGTTGATGAATCCGGAATTAATTTAGTGTAAAATACGTGGTGTTGCTTTTACTGCAGAGAATTGAATACAAAAAATAAAGATGTGCGAATAGCTTCTTTTATTTTTTTGCTTGTGTTACCACTTAGCTTATTATTGGAGTTTTCTTGCTTGAATAAGTTGAGGAAAAAAGGGTTTCTACCACTTTAATGAAAATTGAGGCGGGGAGCATGTTTATGGGTTATACCTGAGGCAAACAGAATGACAGTAGAAGCATATTTTGGAGTTTTCTTCATTATTGGCCATAAATGCTTAGATCGTTTCTTCTTTGTTGCAGGAAGAGAAATGTCGATGGATGGGAATGTTGGACAAACACCTCCAGATAATGAAGCATATAACGTTCCTCCAGATACTAAGTTTATTATCGACAAGGTTGCGCCGTTCGTGGCGAAGAATGGGGAACGTGTTGAGAGTGGGCTTAAGAGAAACCACGCTGGTGATGCTAGATTTAGTTTCCTGAATGCTTCTGATCCTTACCATGCCTATTATCAGTACTGTGTGGCTGAAGCTTACGTACCTGATCGGAAGCCTACTCAGCCAGCAGTTTCAGCCTCTGCTCCTATCACTTATTAGATGATAATCGCAGTTTGTCTGCCAATCTAGACCTATCACTTTGCTGAATATAAAATTTGCTTGTGTTAGATATTATTGACTGTAACATTAGATGCTTACTCCTTATTTGCAAGTCTCGATTATGAAGTGTTATCATTAGGTTGTAAGATATCCTGGCGCTTATTAGCTAAAAATTGCAGTTTGTTTACCAAATTAGACCTATGATTTTGCTTTTGATGATTATTATTAACTTTAACATTATATATATGCTTACACCTTCTAATTTGAAAGTCTCGAATATGATGTGTTTCCATTAGATTTATCCTGGTGCTTGTTGAGTTACAAAGGACAGAATCATATGAGGAAAGTACAGAAGCTACCAGCTTGGTATAAGATTTGGAGAGAATGAGGCATTTTACGAGTTGACTCAACTACCTTTGGAAATACTGTATTGATCTCAGAATGTCTTGCACAAATAATCTCTTCTCTTCATGGTAGATAAGTTCCAAACTTTGGATCTGTAGCATAGATATAATCTATTACTTCTTTTGCATTAAACAAGCACATTAGAAACTTGGTCTCACTACTCTTGAAAAATAAGGCACACAGTTTGTTTTGTTAAAACTAGACGAAGCATGCCCGTGCTAAACACGGCCCGACAAAGTGGTACTGACCTTTCGAAAAAATAAAAAGGTGCTGCAAAATGTATGTAGTTGTTAACACCGCACGGGCCCGACAAAGTGGTACTGACCTTTCGAAAAAATAAAAAGGTGCTGCAAAATGTATGTAGTTGTTAACACCGCACGGGCCCGATAAAGTGGTACTGACCTTTCGAAAAAATAAAAAGGTGCTGTAAAATGTATGTAGTTGTTAACACCACAGACGAACAAAATTTTATATCCCAATTGACAAGCGTATAGTGTACTGTAGGAACTTTGCACTACTGGTAAATATTTTCTCCTTTGTATTTGCCCTCAAGAATCAAAATAAGTTACATTATAAAACAAAAACAAAGGAGAAAGTTTCACTAAATAGATATATACAATTATTTCAGTAGACATTTTCTAGTTTCTTTCAAGCGCAGCAATTGCCACAAAAAACCTTCAATTGCTTGGAGGCATCTGGAGGCTCACGCAGCACAACCGGCAAGCAAAACCAAGCCTACCATTACATTCAGGAGACGCGTGGGCGTGATGTTCTGGAAGCGGATGTGCAAAGCATATCTCTTTTCGCATATCAATTTCCTTAAAGAAGTATATTGGGTTCTCTCAATCTTCAATTATGTCTTAACAAGGAGAATTAAATTAGAATTTATCAAGATAACTAACATAGAAATTATGTAAGTCCAGATCAAATTTTGAGTAAAAATGCTAATAAATTCTATAGTTTAGTAAGCCAAAGCTGAAGAGTCAACCATTAATCTTCCTGTAATGCAAAAAAAGCTGCAGATTTTTTTTAAGATGCTGCTCTTTTGCGTGTTATAATTCTAAGTATGAGCCCTTTGTACAATACCAATAACCATAACACCTACTAAAAATTAAATTTTCATTTTTCTTTAGTACAATAAAAGTGAGAGAGCTACTTCTATTTGTTTTCAGAAAGAAACTAACAGAAATCTTAAGTTTCATTTCACAAATTGAAACCAAAATTTTCTTAAACATTGAGAAGGTACAAGATTTACCCGAACACTGTAATGATAAAACTTCAAATGGCAAAACATAGATTTACTGGAAGAAGTACATGTATTGATCCAATCCTTGCAATTATTAAAAACAAAATGAAGTGGTCCTAAATGTAGCACCTAAAAGTAGCAGCCTAGACAGCTAATCATCAAATATGAGAATGAGAAGCAATTTTGTTTCTTTGCTGCATGTTGTTGAGGTCTGGTCATTCCCTGAATGACAAGAGCTAGTGAATCAGCGGAAACACATGATGCATAACTTTGGGCAAGAGAAGTAAGAGTTGACATGTCCATAAATGACAAACTTAAGCTTGTGTCGGTTGCATTCACTGCGCAAAGTGAGTCTATCCTACTTCTTTTTTAAGTATCCTATGAAAAATCTAATAATAGTTTGTAGAACATGATCGATTAATGCATTCCCAACATTACTGCTATCTCAGAAACTGTAAGTAATACCAGAAATGACCACAATGAGGCCTAGATCAAGATGTGTGCATATAGAATCCGATTCTGCACCAAAAAGATTGTACCATTTCTTCCAATAATGTCCTCCTAAACTAAAGCTAAATCAGAACTTGAGCAGTTAGAAATATCTAAAATTTTGGAAGAGAATTGAGGTCCTTCTAGTTCTAGTAGAATAAGTCGTGTCCTCTTCAACTGACACTAACACAAATTCTAGGCATATAAATGGGAAAGTCAATATTAGGATAGGAGAAAGAGGCTAAGACAACGTTTTTGAGATCTTAAGTGAAAAAAAAAAAAAAAATCTTACGTAATGGAACTACTTCCAAGATAAGACACGCTTTCTTTAGTAGTTTAGAGAGCCTTGTTTCATGTTACCACATAACTAATATTGAGGGAAATATATACATATGCTCCATTATTAAAACTTATCTTAGTAATTAAGGTAAATTCATAGCTTAATCAAGTTAAAGTGCACATCTGGGAAGAAAAAATTATACTCTACAATTTTCTAGCACATGAGAGTTCTTTGAGGGAGTCACCTATTTATCATACTTGAAATTATTTCACTTGGATCCTTTTTACTTTTATGAGGTAAATGGAGTAGAACAACATTGAAACATGATTAATAAGAAAGTGCAATGCTTGTTTTTTTTCTTCTTTTTTTTATGAAGCAAATAGAGTGAAATAAGATACTTATATTAAAATGCAGCACGAAGTTATCCATACAACAGTCATGAAAGTTAAGATAAGCAAATACAGTAAAATGAGATACTTGTATTAAAATGTAGCACGAAGTTATCCATACACCACGCGTGAAAGTTAAGATAACTGATACATAATATGTTAATAATGCATTCTTGTTATTCACAGAAGTAAGCAAAGGGTGGAAAAGATAACCAAATGGACAGCTCAGTGCAAGATGCATATCTACATTTACCTCTAGGTCAGCCCACAATTATCTCCACTCTAATAGAAAAGGTAAAACTTGAAGCAAAAACTCTAATACAAATATAGAGTAATGAAATTATAGTAACCAAAATATGGATTTAAGATGAAGACCATGAAGCTAATAACTATTTCAGTGCTATCAGCAGTTGTCAACGTCATACATTGAGATATTTTTTGTCCCTTTTATTAGCTTCTAACGATATTTATTTTAATTATATATTTTTCTATAAGTTAGCTTCTACTGTTGTTATTCACGACATGTCACCAAATTCTCACAAATCTCAAATGTCCAATGTTCAATCACTAAACAACTATACTAAATATTAAGATCTTTTTGGATGTACAGATATTAATGAATTATTAATGACTTTTTATGTCCCTGCACATATATTTCTCTTTGACACGTGAATTCCTCATTTTTTTTGGGGCTTTTTTAGATTGAAAGATCCATCTCAGAAGCAAAATTTAGTTGAAAAAGATCTAGTTCTGATCCACAAAATATAAAGCAAATTAAATAGAAGGGTTTTGCATAGAGTTCAAAACAAGCAAATATAAATTTGTTTTCCTGAAAATTCCATTCATCCTTCAGCCCTGAAGTCCCTTGAACTGCAACAATTTCTCAATCAAAGAGAACACTTGTTTGGGGATTGAGATATAATTGTTATTGTTCTCAGTCAATGAATGAGTTGCAGAGCTTCAAGTGCTTGCTGAGACAAATGTATAACCGGTACTCCTGAAAGTGGGTTCAGCTCCAATTAATTTAATATTTATCCAACGACGCACAATGCTATACCGAGATACACATATATAGTGATTGACAAACATTTTCAGAATATGCACTGAAGAAATATTGGTCTTGCAAAATGTACATGACAATCATTTTTTATTCCTTCGCTCAACGAAACTTAAAAGAAAAATGTCTTCTCTTGTTGCTCAATAAAATTGATATGGAGTTACTGATAATAAATAAAGAGAGATGCTCTTATTTTTATTTAGATAAATAAAGCAAATAAATAGAATTCCTAATCTTTCATTCATTAGGGAAAAAACCTATAGGAAATTACATTCAACAATCACAACCACAAATTAGAAAATGAACTCTATGGTAAAATCACAAATGTAAAATCCAAAGTAAAAATCATAAAACTCATAGAAGCACATATTCCCAAAGAAGAAAAACAAAAAGGAATCTGCATTCACAAATGAGACTGTATGGGTCAAAATTAGATCAGAGAAATTCGTCACGCGGAAACATAACATCGTGGTCAGACAGGCCAAGGTCGGACAGGCCAAAGTCAGACCGTCATCAATAACCAAGGTCGGACAGGCCAAGGTCGGACGGTCATCAATAACCAAGGTCAGACAGGCCAAGGTCGGACCGTCATCAATAACCAAGGTCGGACCGTCATCAAACAGCTAGTTTGCTTTGGATTACTCAAAAGGGATATTCTACCGAATATTACCTCTAAATTGTACCTTTTTTAGGATTTTCTATGGATACCCCCCTTATAAATAGGAGGGGAGGACTTCCCAAAAGGAGGGCTCTCTCTCCCCCTCTCCCTCTTTCTAGAAAACATGTAAACACACCTCCCCTAAGAAATGAGAGGATCTGTGGTCCCATATCTTCATCAGGCCCGAAAAAGGGTCATAAGGTTCTTGTATTTTACTATCATTCTTCTGGATTAAATGAAAGAAGATCCGTCTCACTGAAGATCGGGTGAATCTTTTCCTTTATTCATATTTTTGTTACTTAATGCATCTTTCTCTATGCTATTAAATCTGGTCATAATCGCCGTCAACATTTATACTCGACTATGTTTTTCCATTCATCTTACTCATCTCGGATCTAGAGTTAATTATCTTTAACTAGGATTTACCCCTTCATCTTCTTTGATTGATTTGCTTAAAAAGTATTTTACAACTTTTGAGTCAAACAATTTGGCGCCGTCTGTGGAGATTTTCTAGTTAGAATTTTAGTTTCCTCTAGATCTAAGATTCAATTCCAACGGGAGCTGAAAAGGTATGTACTAGTATATAATTCTTCTTCCTGTTACAGCCAGAAAATAAAGGAGTCATGCAGATGTGGCACTAGTACATAATTTTTCTTTCTGCCTTTGTTTCCTTGTTGCTATGATTGAGAAGCGGAAAAACCAATAGATATACTCAT